CCCCCCCTCTCTGTGTCACACAGCAGCTCTGCTTATGTCTGTTGTTTCCTTCGATGGTAGATTGCTGTCGGTTGAAATCACTGGACTCACAGACGTTTGCAGTCCGTGCTGCTGTTGCGTCGTTGGAAATGTACACAACGTACTGCGCATGCGCGAGCCTTTTGACTGCTCTAAGCCTGCCTGTACTTAATCTGAGCTCTTGGTCTGTGTGAAAGCTGCACAGATATTTCAGAATGATTCTCGTCTTTAGCGAGTCCCCCTCAAACAGTTGTACCACATACTGACACTGTGTAATATCTGTGTGCTGGACATTGTGTGCAGATATTTGTATAAACAGTCTGTAATGCAGAGTGAGGTTAGAAAACGGTCATCCCACCTGGTTTATCTGCAGTGATAAAGATTTTACAGTCAGTATTTTTCAGGAACTGAATTAGCTTTTGCACTATTCATATGTGTTGCTTCATTGGAATTATTTCCTGAGCTATAGTGTTCTTTTTCCATTCATTGCATGCCGGCTATTTCAGAGTTCTGTTAAGCTATGAATGCAATATTCAGACACAAGTTCACTGCTTTTCAAATATAAACTCTGTAGTTTATCTTGACATAAAGCATTGCAACAACAAAATGAACGGTGTGCTTTTACTTTGTAGTCAAATTGCTGAAGAGAAAGTGATTCTATGAATGTTGTCGCCAAGACAGCGCTATGTGTCAGTCAGATATGTAGAAAATATAAATAATCAGATTATCAAATTGAACTCCCAGGACAAATTTAGCTTGTTTGCCGCTAATTGCTGACCGCTGCTGTAGTTTATCGGAGGCCGTGGAAGGGGACAGTCCGCAGACTGAAGGTGCACTCCCCTGCCCTCAATGAGTGCTACAGAGCAGTGTTTGCCTGTTTAATTGAACTTTAATAATATTGATCGTATCATATGTCCAAATTACACGCAAGTCAACACTGCAACACAATCTACACTACACATTGTTAATGGCACTAGGCCATTTACAATACACAAATGTGAAATCGATAAGATGAACAGTAAGGTATTCATTCCACATTCAGACTGATGCAAAGACTTGTCGGTTTAGTTGGTAGTATTTTTATCACCATTCTTGCATGTGCAGTAACATGGACACTGTGATATCTACATACCAAGCTGCTTAATTACATCATTTTAAATGATCTATCATATTCCATTAGAATCAGTGATATTCATTGTGTTACTATCAAAATTTACATCTGTAAATATGTGTGCGAATTTACCTGTAAGCTTTTTTTTTCTCTCTTTTTTCATCAGATGAATGCAGCAATGCACGAAAAACATGTCTCACAAAGAAGATAGTGAAGGGAAAAAGTGGTGAGCAGCACAAACAAACAGCATGAAAGTGCCAGTGGTGCTCATTAAGCCAGTGGGGAAATCACTTCATGTAAATGTAATGCAGCAGTATTGTACTGAAAGCCTTTTTTGACAATCTCCTTTCAGCTCTCACCCCACTGGATTGTACGCCAGCATCCCACGAACATGTCTGCCCATTGTGTACCACCCGGACTACAACATCACTTTCATGGGCCTTGAAAAGCTCCATCCATTTGATTCAGGGAAGTGGGGGAAAGTCATCCGCTTCTTGAAAGGTAAGAGAGAGGCAGATGGGGAGGACATGTCCCCAAACTGGTACTGTAAATGTGAAATCATTCATATTGGATAAGAAAGGCAAAGAGAGATGGAGAAAACAGTTGGGGGGTGATGTGTAGGTGTAGAAGTGGAGAAGAAGCACATCAGAACGCAGATGATTAAAGAACACTCCCTCTGGGAGTCTGAGCAAGTTCAGCAGATGAAGCCCCGTGTGGGTTTCAAGGCCATGGATAGTTGCCGACAAACTGGCACGACTTCATATGAAGTTGTTGTCAATCTGCACCATGGATTATTTTAGCTACAAAGTGCTTAATGAATTCACAAAACCCTCTGAAGAGTGCAAATACAAAGCTTCTGCTTACAGAGGGAAACCTTGGATTTAATAAATACACCCTGGTAATAACTTATAGAAAAAGTAGATGATATTGCATTTCTTAGAAAAACATACCATGGAACCTATTTTGTAAAGGGTGCTTAAACTGGTCTTCAAATGCCTGGACTGTAAACATATTTCTGTCACCTTTGACAACCACCTCAGCTCAGCTTGGCAATGCATGTTAAAGGAATGGTTGGTAATTTGTTTTCTGAAACTTTTTTTAATCTTATTTGTTGAAATTCTTTTAACGTCCCAATCTCTAAATAAAGCTGAAGAAATACCAGTCACTTCATTATACCTTCATGAAATCACTGCCGTACCTGTCAGTCGCTAAAGGACCTGTGTGACTGACTGACTGACTGACAGTCACCTTGCCCGTGCTCTCACTTAGCCTGACCTAGTCTTCAGCTGGAGACGTACACATCTGAAGCAGAGAGAGTCAGAAGTCAGTAAGCGAGTCAGAGAGAAGCGAGTCTTCTTCTATCAGTTGTCCGGCTGTGCACATTCATGTGGCCATATCTGTGATGAGAGGGCTGATGGGAGGGGGAGGGGGTGGGACGTATCAGTTGTATTATTTCAGCCTGCTCTTGATAGCGTTTTCAGGATTACCATCCCTACAGCCTTGATCTTTGCAGTTCAGGAGACTTTGCATCAGATGAACTTTATTCAGTAGAAATCTAGAGCCTGTCATACATGGCTTTACTCCCCCTCATGTGAGCGACTGAAAATCTCTTTTGTAATAGCCTGAGCCAACAGAGTCTGCATAAATTATAGCTTGTTTAAAATAAAGCTGCCAGACTTCTTACTGAAACCAAAAAAATAAGAGCACATTAATCTCATTGTAACTTCTATTCACTGGTTTTATGTACATTTTAAAATTGGCCTTATCAGCATCCCCCAGTCTCTGCTGAGGACCAGTATTGACCATTAATAATATCATGATTATTATCATGTCACAGAGGAGCAGTTCCTCACCGATGGGAACATCGTGGAAGCCCTTGAAGCCACTGAGGAGGATCTGCTGGTGGTTCACACCAAAGGTTACCTCAACAGATTAAAGGTAGTTGTTTTTCTCCTGAACTCTGCCTACCTTCAGTGCACCACTCATTATGACTGCATGGCATGTTCAACACAGCTCTTCATCGCCTCTCTTCTTTTTCATCCATCTCTCTTCTGTGTATCACATGCATCACTCAGAGGCAGTGAGGGGACAAGGGATCCATTAGGATTTAAGTGACATGACTCTTATTAAACTAGAAAGTCCCTGTGTTCACATTTCATAATAATATTCATGCAATTCAATCCAAAGACTTTGTTTCCTGGGATTTTTTTAACTTTTTCCACCTGTAAGTAATGCAGGAGGTCATGAGGAGTTCTCATCAGAATGCAGTGGATTATTCCAAAGGGGAATTGGTCCTCAGTCACATCCTTGTGCTTTAAATTCATCAGCTCTAGGAGTTGATTTGGATCTGTGTGAATTTAGGAAGCTGCTGTTCAGCTGTTTGTGAAAGAGATATACCAAGATGTAGTAGTAAATCTGTCATAGCTGGAAAAGCTGATAACAGCAATTCAATCATCAAAGATAGTATTTATTCTCCCTCCTGCTCCTCTACAGCCAGAACCAAATCTTGCAGGGATCAGAGGTACCTAAATATTCTGCTGTGAATTTGAATTATTCGGTACCGTCTCATTTCATTTGAGGTGGAGGCGCTCTCATAAACCCCCTGGCAATATTGTGTGTTTCTTCAGTCAACGTCTCTACACCTTTTAAATCCAAACCCTCACCTGGGTGTGCACATGTTAAAAATGTGTTTCTCTAACTCCTGAGGTTCTTTTGTGGTTGTGTTTGCCTTATAAGCACTTTGAGTGTCCACCAAGACTAGAAAAGCACTATATAAATACAAACCATTTACCATTTACCATATATGTGAGAGAGTCATTGCACAGAAAAAGGTATTTATGCAGTGTCTGATTGTGTTCTTGTTCACTACAGTGGTCACTGGTGGTGGCAACGATCACAGAAATCCCCCCTCTCATGTGTCTGCCTAATTTTCTGGTGCAGCGGAAGGCTTTGAGGCCTTTACGGACACAGACAGGAGGGACAATAATGGTAGGTGTCCGCAGGCATCATGCACTTCACAGGCTTCTATTTTTCCTGTCTTACACCTTAATTTGTCAAAGGAAGAAACCAAAATTATTTGCCTCACAGATCACAGATTCAACACCCAGCCACCATTGCATACAGGCAAATGTACTCTAAAACAACTTTTAATGTCTTTAGACTTTAACTCAGTAGCTCAGTTAATCTTTAACCTCCCTGTTGTTCTATTATTCACA